ATGTCACTATATTAAAATAGATTGAGAATGTGATTTTTTATATTTACTTAAAATACGGTATCATTTTTTATTCAATGGTAAAACTAACAAAAGTCGTTAAATATGTATTTTTATGATGTTCAACATAAATAGACGAGCACAAATGAGAATCCATATCTAATCAATCATCAACTAATTAAATTAGATACTAATGTGTACATAAAAATTACATTTAAAATTTTAAACTAATAGTAAAAAAATTCATTATTTATTATGATAAAAAATCTATAAATCAAAAAATATACATGCTATTTAATCGCATATAAGTTTTATTTATGAGTTAATCACAATACATTAAATCATATATAACCATATTAAACTACAAAATTATCTCACTGCCCAACGCATGAGCATTCGTCTAGTTTAATATAAAAAGAAACGAAAGTTGATAATTTGGTTAGTCGATTAAATTTTTTTTTGATAATGTGATGTCTTTTGGTAACCCATCTTCAATACTCTCTTTGGCAATTCCAGTGATCTTAGTGAACAATTAATAATGAAATTTAATATACATGCCCAATTGCCTATTTGGAGCATAAATAAATGCATTAATTTTATGAAATTTATAGGGAAAATGACTTGAAAGGGTAATTATATTTTTGTCTTTTTAATATTTAGATAACATTTTTTATATATATGTTATCATTTTATTTGTTAAATTTGTTTACATATTATCATTATTATATTCTATAGTTTTTTGTAATACATTGTTTTAAACTTCATATATATATATATATATATATATATATATATATATATATGAAAAGTGAATATGTGGCTGTTATGTACTTAAGTTTACATATAGAACCTTTTAAACAGCATAGTTTTAAACAAAAAAATTCAATTTTATTATTGAATCAAGTTCAATTACGGAATGAAAAAAATCAATTACATATATTTTCATTGCAAATAATTATTGAAGTTTATAGAAAAAATAAAAAATCAATATTTTTTAACGAATATAACTCAAGCGTTTTGTATTTCAATTGAAAAACTATACCCAATGATTTTGTGAAAAACTTGATTGAATTATGACATGTTCTTCTTTTATCCTTTGTTCTTCTAGTTTTTATTTACAGTTTAATATGATTGATTAAATGGTCACGACTTTTAATGTTTTAAGTTCTTAAACACAATGAAAAAAAGAACATAAATTCAATCGATTTAGTAGGTCACAAAATTAAGGAAGAATAGTAAAAGAAATATCATGATTAGTTTGGATATAAATGGATCAAAACTACATTGTTTGGAGGGTTCTATATATAATATTAGGTATATGACACCTACATATTCCCTAAGTTATATATATATCTATATATATATATATATATATATATAAACTTTTTTATAATTTCATATTTTAATCTAAGTGCCTTTAAACCACATATTTTTTAAATGTTTTAAAAAATTTCTCACAAGTTTCAAACTTTTTTTTTTTTTTTACATTTTCATGCAAATTTTTTAATAACTTTCATTCAATTATTTCTAAACTTTCTTTTACAACAATTTTAAAGTGTTTCAATTTTTTTTTACAAGTATACATTATTGAACTCTACAATGATACTACAATGACAATGAGTTATGGGAGCATGATTATGTCTTAAGCACCCCCAAAAAGCCTCTAAATGTTGGCCCTATGTAACACCGTAAATTTCCAAAACAATTTTTCGCATTTATAAAAACATAGTTCATTTGGAAACCATAAAAACATCATTGTTTGAAACTCAATGTATAACGTATAACAATATCCCAAGATCTCGTATCATAAAAATCTCGTGTGTGTACTGATCAAGCCGGCGCCTTCCCGCGATCCTCACTAATACCTGAAACACATAACACAAAACACTGTAAGCACAAGCCTTAGTGAGTTTCCCAAAATACCACATATAACACATATTAGCCACTCGAGGCTATAACTCTGTGGTTCCGAGCACCCAAACTTTGTGAACCCTCAGGTTCTAACTCTACAAACATGCACAGCATAAATCACATAGAATAATGCAGTACAACAAACAATATATATAAAGCATTGTATCACATAACTCTATTTACCTACTTAAGGTAAAGTATAGTGAGAAGACTTACCTCGCGTATCTCGGTAACTCGTAAATCCCTGAAATCACTAGTGCTCGATCTCCCGAGCTATAGTCCTCATATAACACAATACATCTCTAATTAACACTTTCCTAATTAAGGTTGACTAACCCTATCAAGTCAACACCGGTCAACTCTGGTCAATGGTCAACAGTCAACCCAACTCGCCGAGTATGGCGTGGACTCGCCGAGTCCTTACGAGGACCCAATTCCTCTGAGTCCCTTCCGACTCACCGAGTCACTCACCCAACTCGGTTACTCAACCCCTGGTTCGAAATCTATGAACAACCCGCACCAACTCGTCGAGTATGCCAATAGACTTGGCGAGTGCATTCCATGCACAACCCCAAACGACCTTCTGAGGTGAGATCTGTTCCAATAACTCATAGATTCAGTCCTTCCAAGCTTATCTATCACGTAAAGTTCATGTCTTAGCGCTCATATCACATCTAATGACTCATAAATGGTGTTTTAACCTCAAGCACAAAGATCCCAAACCAAAACCTCCATGGATTCATAAAAAGCTTGGACAAAGGGACACTCTGGACCTCCAAGGGTCCAGATCCAGAATCTAACTCGCTTAAGGGACCAAATGGGCACTAGATCTAGCCACAAAAGGGCTCAATAAACCCTAAATCAACATGAACATCACCTCAACAGAAAAGGGTTCGAAAATGGTACCTCAAATGTGATGTTTTGGACCTCAAATCTTCAGGAGGTTAACCCTCTTGCTTCCTCTTTGCTAAAACTTTCTATCCCTTGCTAGACAACACCTCCAAGGTTGATAATGGTTCCCTCTCTCACTCCAAACGCTCAAGTGCACTAGGGTTTCGCTCTGGGAGGCTGGTGAGCACAAATGACGGCCATAAGGCCCTTTAAATAGGCCCCAAACCCAAGAAATTAGGGTTTCATTAAACATCGTGGACTCGCCGAGTCCACCAATGCGACTCGTCGAGTCCGGTCATTCCGGATGAGAAATCGTGTCTCTACTCGGCGAGTCTACGCACCAACTCGCCGAGTTCTTCCTTAAAACTCAAAATAAAAAGAATAAATATAATACCTGAAATTCCGGATGTTACACCCTAAACAACCACTGAATGACGACCATGAACAACCATTGAATGTCGGCCCTGAGTAGCCGTCTCCGGTTATTCGCTCGTCAGATGTAATAGAGATTTTGCGAGATGAACACAATACACCGACACAATCATGTCTTAGGCGTTCTAAACGCCAAAAGGTTATGTCTATATGATATAAGGTGTCATGGATACAAATGAAGAAGAAAGGTATTACGCGGCGACAACCAGCATCGTTGGACAATGTTGTAGATTCCACCGTACACGTTGTATATAAAGAACGGTATGGTTCATTGTTGTTTGGTCACACTTGTTTGACCTGTTTTGCTATGTTTGAGTTTTGGACATGGTTATATGCGGATAATCACGGATGATGGTTGTCATATGATGTAAGTAATATAATTATTTGCTTATTACATACTACACTTCTAATAATAATACTTACTTTATTGCAAAAAAAAAATAATTAGCAACAAGTCATGATATAGATCTCATTGCTGCTAGAGCGTAAAGATGATGATGCTCGGTTGACGGTTGTACCGTCAACTATCACTGATATATATATATATATATATATATATATATATATATATATATATATATATATATATATATATATATGACTGAAGTGATATGGCTGACAGATTCGTTTTCCCAACTTGGGTAGAGTGTAATATGATATAATTTTGTTTGGATTATATTAGCTGAGTATTTTAATTAATTTTTTCTAATCTTTTTGTAGCTTTAAATTTCAATCAACATGCCACAAGCTCATTGTTTTTTTGGGTTCTTTGGATTTGAAGACATTCAATATGATTATATACGATAGTTATTGGAAGAGTGACTATTGTTCGGAAAATTCGGGTTGGTTTATATGTTTGAGAGCCCGCATCTACAAACTGCTAGTGAGAGTCAATTACTAGGGTATTAAACCAACTGATTCAATCCCACTTGAGAGCTTCAATGTGACCCTCGTAAAGGCCCCAGACGTACCACAACAAATTGACAGTATATGGGATTGTAGGATGTTTTTATGTTGGTTCCCGAAGATGTTGAATGGTAAAACCACCAGTCCATGGGAGATGAGTTATAGAAAACGATTAGCAAAAATATTTTGGGGTACAAGAACAAAGATAATTTGAACATCATCTTTTTAATATGACCTATAAACACATATTTTAGTTTATGTATTTATTAGTAATTTGTTCATTTTAATTGCATTTTACATTTTATAAAACCAAAAATATACATTTTATGAAAGCAAAATTATATGAAAAAAAAAAAAACACAAATAAAAAAAGTCAAATCTATTACGGAACCATGGTCCAGAATAGTACTATGAAATTTTGAAGACCTCTCCGGAACAATGTATTCGGGAGAATGTGATTAATTTACCAAGAAAGAAGAAGTTATTGTTATTTTTGTCAAAAATAATAAGGGTCAAACTAATAAATTTTCCTAAAATTGTTTTGTTTTTTTTTTAATAGACATAAAATTATGGTTAGATTTGTTAATTTCCAAAAAAGAAAAAAGAAAAAAGAAAAAAAGGCCTAATATTAATTACTTAAAGGACGTAAGGGCTAGATTGTCATGTTTATCCAACGGCTGATATAATGCCATGCATGCCCAAAATCCAACGGTTCAAAAATCAACTGGAGTTCACCTTATAAGTATCGCAAACCCTAAACCTTAACTCCTCCTCTTTCTCCCTTCTCCTCGCTACTGCAACGCAACCGCTAAATCATATTTAGCAGGAAGGAGAACAACCCCCTTGAATACCATATTCAAACCATGCCTTCACTTACTGCTTTGCCTGAAACCCTATCCCCATCATCTGAAGCCCTCACAACGAAGGCTAAGAAGATGAAGAACATCACCTCCGAAACCGTCGGACTCGGATCTCCAATTAAGAAAGAGAAAAAGAGCAAAAAAAACAAGACTACGCCGCAGACCGACTCTCCATCAGATTCTGAAAAATCCGAGAAAAAAATCAAGAAGAAACGCAAGGCTTCTTCGGATACAGATAACGAGGAGGGAAAGAGCGATACTTCTGAATTAGTCGAGCCTATTAATCTCAAGGTATGTAGATGTCTTTAGTTTCATGCTTAATTTAAACAGGCTTATGTTCGTCATTCGTATTATAATTATTTACTTTTTGAAAAATATTGTTTGGAATGTCTGAAGATTGAGGAGTCGATGAAGAAAAGTAAGAAGAAAAAGATGAAGACGGCTGAGGCCGATGAAGAGGCGGAACCGATTAAGGAAGATAATCCAAATGCGGTTTCCAAATTTAAGATTTCCGAGCCGTTGAAGAATGCCTTGAAGGCCAAGGGGATCGAGGCCTTGTTTCCTATTCAGGCTCGGACCTTTGAATCGATCTATGATGGTCTCGATTTGATTGGGAAAGCTAAGACCGGTCAGGTACTTGGAATCACTTTCCGAAATTTGCTTTACGTAACACACATCTTATTAGGGGTTATGAACAAGTTACTAATTGAAATGATCTCGTTGTGGTTTGAACTATTGCATCATCTTCACTCGAAATCATGAAAACAGTTACTTAATGCTTATTACTAATTCTACAGGGGAAAACATTAGCTTTCATCTTGCCAGTATTAGAGTCCCTTATCAATGGACCTGAGAAGGTTTCAAGGAAGACCGGCTATGGCAGGTCACCTACAATACTTGTGCTTTTGCCAACAAGAGAATTAGCAAAGCAAGTGTACACAGATTTCAAATACTATGGAGATGCTGTAGGCCTCTCTTCATGCTGTTTGTATGGTGGAGGTGGAGCATCCATTTCTCCTCAAACTGTTCAATTGAAAAGAGGTGTGGATATTGTTGTAGGAGCAGTTGGACGTGTCAAGGTATTTATAACTTCTATCTTCTTTTTCAACAACATCTTTGGGTGTCTAAATTGTATTATATGCCCCTTATTAATCACAATATGATGTGATAATGATACGTGTAGGATCACATAGAAAGAGGGAATCTCGACTTATGCTCATTGAAATTCCGTATCCTCGATGAAGCTGATGAAATGTTGAGACAAGGTTTTGTTGAAGATGTTGAATACATTTTAGGCAAAGTGAATGATGCTACAAAAGTCCAAACAGTTCTATTCAGTGCTACTTTACCTGCTTGGGTCAATCATGTATGATGATAGTCTTTCTTAAACTCATTTTTTGGAATTGTTCATACTGTTGTACAATTTTGATTAAACTTACCTTTGTCTTTACAGATTGCATCAAAGTTTTTAAAACCAAACAAGAAGATTGTTGATCTTGTTGGTGTGCAAGTAATGAAAGCCAGTGAAAATGTGAGACACATCATCATGCCTTGCTCTTGGTCAGCTAGGTCACAGCTCATTCCTGACATCATTCGCCATCATAGCAGGTTTGTTGAAAATTGAATCTCAGGTTTCTCCTAGATATTATAAATTCTCTCATTTAATTTTTTCTATTTCATTTTTTTTTTCAGTGGAGGAAGAACAATTGTTTTCACTGAAACTAAAGATTACTGTTCTGAACTTTCTGGTGTCCTGGAGGGAGCACGCCCTCTTCATGGAGACATTCAACAGTCTGTTCGTGAGGTAGATTTAATCATTTAAATCAAAATCATTCTACTCTATTTATATTCTTTTTGTATAAAGGTTTTAAACTTTTCTTCATGATATTTTATATAATAATAATAATAGGCTACACTTGCGGGATTCCGATCTGGCAAGTTTATGACACTAGTGGCCACGAATGTTGCAGCAAGAGGACTTGACATTAATGATGTCCAGTTAATCATCCAGGTACAATACATTCAAATCAATTATAATATATATCAGAGTTTATTTATTTATTTTATTTTTCTTGTTTATGCTGAAATTACGATTCTACCCTTCAGTGTGAACCACCGCGTGATGTTGAAGACTACATTCATAGATCCGGAAGGACAGGAAGGGCGGGAAATTCGGGTGTTGCCATTACACTTTATGAACCAAGAAAGTCAAATATTTCAAAATTAGAGAGGGAGGCAGGTGTGAAATTTGAACATATTTCCGCCCCTCAACCTGCTGATATTGCTAAAGCTGCTGGTGGTGATGCTGCAGAAGCCATAATTCAAGTTGCGGATAGGTATATATAATACACTGGTTGTGATTTTACGATTATAACCTTGACTTGTTTTTGTTTAATAACATGGTTGTTTAATTTTGTTTTTTTTGCAGTGTGATCCCTGTTTTCAAGTCGGCTGCTGAAGAGTTGTTGAACAATTCCGGCCTAACACCAGTAGAGCTTTTAGCAAAGGCACTTGCCAAGAGCATTGTGAGTCTTTTTATTCTTTTATTTTAAAATTTGGTTATATATTTTTTCCTTGTTGTGATTTTAATAAGCTTTTTTATTATGGTTTGTTTTGTACAGGGGTATACCGAAATCAAGCACAGGTCACTGTTATCGTCTATGGAAAATCATGTCACGTTGCATCTTGAGGCTGGAAGACCTGTTTACACACCTTCGTAAGATTTATATATATTTTATAAATGAGAAATGAAGGTTTTGAAAATCGTATATGATTAGAAGTAATAAAATGTTGGGAATTAATTAATTATATTTTATGTAAATTTCAGATTTGCGTATGGTGTGTTGAGGAGGTTTTTGCCTGAAGAGAAGGTGGAGTCGATTCAAGGTCTTGCACTGACTGCTGACCAAAGGGGTGCGGTTTTTGATGTTGCTTTGGAAGACGTGGATCTTTTCCTTGCTGGTAACCTATCTATCTGTCTTTTTCTTCTTGTCTGAATTTACTATTTTGCCCTTCTTTCTCTGAAATAATTTTCTTGTTTTGGGATGATGCAGGCCAGGAGAATGCGGCAGGTGTAACTTTGGAGGTGGTGAAGGAGCTGCCACAATTGCAGGAGAGAGAGCAGACCAGGGGAAGATTTGGAGGTGGTGGTGGTCGTGGTGGTGATAGGAGAGGTAGTGGTGGTGGTGGGTTCTCTCGTGGAGGACGTGGTGGTGGATTTTCCAGAGGCTTTGGAGGTGGTGGTGGTGGTGGAAGAGGTGGGCGTGGGGGATACAAGAAATGGTGAAAAAGCTTTCATTATTATATATATAATATATAGGTGGAAGCTTGCCTGCCTATAAAAGCAGTTTTGATTGATGATGTAAGGAAGACAACATTGCCAATAATGTGGCTTCTCTCTAATTACTCCATTATATAGTGGTTACGGTGTGTGTTTTGTTTTTGTGGTTAGTTTAGTTTGCTTTCCATTCTTTTGCCTTTTTTTTTTTTTTTTTGTTAAATGTATCAGAGATGTTAACAATCGGATAATTGAGCGTTAATATTATTCTCTATAACATCCAAGTCATTATCAAAATTAAAACATCCAATCCTAATGCACCTTTATATCAATTCGTAACTCTAAAAAAGAGCTAAAGAAAAGTCCTAACATTGCTACAAATTTAATAATCTTGTTTCTTAAAAGCAAATAACTTTCTAGTCGTTACAAGTTTTTGATTAAAATAAAATTGTGGTTAGAAGATAATTGTGGTTAGAAGATAAGGACGTTGTGTAAACATCGACCACATATCTCTTTACCTTTTCCTTTTGTGGATGATATTGACCCATCATAATTAGTCCGTTCTCGATCCATTTTAAAGCACAAACAGAGCCCTCTACGCAAATCCATAAACAGGTCTATTTCAAGCATCATCAACAATTCAACATATCCATTTCTTTCCTGTTCATCTTTCCCCCTTATAAAAACAATAAACGATGGTGTCCGTGTCTCCACAATATCATTATGAGGACTTCCTTCTTTCTTACCTGCAGTACAGCCATCTTCCTTCTCACAGGATTCTTCTACGTTGCACCGTTGTTAATCCTGGCAGTTATCGGAATTCTTACTTCACTTATGGTAGTACTATTGGCTGTGGTGTTTGTACCTTACTTCACACAACTAATGTCAACCGATCACCAGCCTCCTGTTGTCGGACCAGTATCCTATCAACTCCTACACTTTCAGGGGCTTTATGATTACATGACACTGATTGCCAAAAAACATCCCACTTATCGTTTCATCACACCTACACATAGTAGAGTTTATACAGCTGATCCTGCTAACATCGAGTACATTCTAAAGACCAATTTTGCAAATTATACCAAGGTGTTATAATGAATTAGTATATTTAATTTCCAGATTGATTGTAAGTCGATGGGTTATAACTTATAATCGAGTTGTTATTTACAGGGGGAGTACAATATTGGTATAATGGGAGATCTTTTTGGCAATGGGATTTTTGCGGTGGATGGGGTTAAGTGGCGCCACCAACGGAAGCTTGCAAGCTTTCAGTTCTCAACAAAAGTTTTACAGGAATTTAGTACTGTAAGCTTCAAGTCAAACGCTGCTAAACTAGCCAAAAAGATTTCCTTACTAGCAGCTGCTGAGGAAACCATGGATTTGCAAGTAATTAATAGTTATAACTTGAAAGCGATGAATGTCTTCATAAGCTTTGTTACATTTGCTTTCTGTTCTTTTTATGCAGGATTTGTTGATGAGATCGACATTAGATTCGATATTTAAGGTGGGATTTGGGTTTGATCTTGATACTCTATCGGGTTCAAATGAGGCAAGTAATCGATTTATGGAAGCGTTTGATGAGTCAAATGGTTTGGTATATTGGCGATTTGTGGATCTTCTATGGAAGGTGAAGAGGTATCTTAATATCGGTTCCGAAGCCGCTCTCAAAGAAAAAATCAAAATTATCGATAACTTCGTATATGAATTGATACGAAACAAGAGGGAACAAATGAAAAATGAAGAGGTATATTTATGTGCGTGAAAGTAATTTAAAAATCTTTTCTTAAACTGTTTCTTATTTCAATGCTTTCTTTGTGCGTGGTCATGAGATATAAAGAGAGATGAAGAAGACATATTGTCGAGATTTCTGATGGAAAGTGAAAACGATCCGGAGAATATGAACGATGAGTATCTGAGAGATATATCTCTCAGTTTTGTGATTGCTGGAAAAGATACATCTGCAAACACACTCACTTGGTTCTTTTACATGCTTTGCAAGCATCCATGGATTCAAGAAAAGGTTGTAGATGAAGTGAAAATGGCAATCGAAGCTGATAATCATACATCCATCGATGAATTTGGAGTCAAATTTACCGAACTTGCCCTTGACAAAATGCATTATCTCCATGCAGCTTTATCCGAGACACTCAGGCTCTATCCCGCTGTTCCGTTGGTATGTTCCCTATTCAAGGATTCAAGAACTATACAAGTGTATTCCGTTGCTAGTGGATCTATCTAATTAACACTATTTTTTAAACAATCGTAATAGAATGGAAAGCGTGCTGAGAAAGATGATGTTCTTCCAGATGGGTTCAAGATCAAGAAAGGAGATGGTGTGGGTTATATGGCGTATCCAATGGGAAGGATGACGTACATTTGGGGAGAGGATGCTGAAGAGTTCCGACCAGAAAGATGGATTAAAAATGGCGTTTTTCAACCTCAAAGTCCTTTTAAGTTCATCGCTTTTCAGGTACGTCCACATTTGAGCTCCAACGCTTGTTAAAAAAATCAAGACAAAACTTCAAAAATGGTCCTTGTGGTTTTCGAAAATATCAAGTTTAGTCCCTAAGTTCAAAAAACCTCACAGATGGTCCCTGTGGTTTCAAAACTTTTAACAAATGGTCCTTTTGGCTAACACCGTTAACATTTAACCGTTAAGTGAAGGGCATTTCAATCATTTTACCACCACAGGGACCATTTATGAAGTTTGCCTTAATTTTTTTTTTTTAAAAAGAAAAAAAATTATTTAATATTAAAGGGCCCCACCCCCCCTCTCTTTCTCTCTCTCTATCTCTCTCTCTCTCTCTCTCTCTCTCTCTCTCTCTCTCTCTCTCTCTCTCTCTCTCTCGTAAACATTGCATCTACAGCTTCAGTTTCAACTTCACACACATCCAAATTCACCACCAATGATCCTCTTCTAGCTCGTAGCCAATCTCCAACTTCACTAGTCACATTCTTGCACTTCTTTACCTTGATCTTCACCAAATTAGGACAACCCCAAGCAAAAGCTTCGATTCCTTCATCTGATACTGGACACCCTTTTATACAGAGCTTCTTCAAAGCAACACATTTTCATGCTATGCCTAAAATTTCCCCATCAGTTATTGTTTTGCTTCCACATAGAGCTAATCTTTCTAGTTTTTGATAGTTTGTAGCGATTGCTTCTAGGCTTGCTGAGTTAGGGTTGACCCCAATTAGATCAAGTTCTTGAAGGTTTGCACTGTGTTTAGCAATCGTTGTCAAACCCTCGTTTCCTATCCTGTTTGTTCTCCATCCATCGATGTGAAGCTTTCTTAAGTACTTACAGTGCTCAGCAATGGCGATAACCCCAGTATTTGTGCATTCTGGTGTCTTGACGATGTGTAGAATTTCCAATTTGGAGCAATTAGAGAGGGATGAAAGCCCAACATCGGTTACCTGTAGTCTCTCCAGATGAACTTCAACCAAACAACTATCTGCAGTCGCTATCGTCTCCAATAACCTATCCCAATCGCCTAAGCATCGGAGCAATTTCAACGTCTTCAGTTTTTTTGCACCGCTAATTAAAGGTCCGAAGAAATGGCCGTTGTATAGCTCCTTAAGACATATACTTTTGAGCGAGGAAGCCGCCGCCCCTGGCCCAATCGACTTCGCTGCTCCTCCGTCGTTGATGCCTCTTAATCGTTTAACAGACAGCTCCTCGAGATAAGAACAGCTATCGAGGAGGGCGTTTATGCCTTTAGCACCGAACATGCAAGATCCACAAGAGAATTTCTTCAAACCCTTGCAGTTTTTCGCTAAGCCGGCCATACCTACATCAGTTGCAGGTAAAGAATGGGAAGAAGATGATAGGGTAGGTGGGTTTTTTGATCTTACGAGAGAGAGAGAGAGAGAGAGAGAGAGAGAGAGAGAGAGAGAGAGAGAGAGAGAGAGAGAGAGAGAGAGTGAGAGAGAGAGAAGGGTGGAGCCCTTTAATATTAAATAATTTTTTTTCTTTTTTTTAAAAAAAAAAAAATTAAGGCAAACTTCATAAATGGTCCCTATGGTGGTAAAATGACTGAAATGCCCTTCACTTAACGGTTAAATGTTAACGGTGTTAGCCAAAAGGACCATTTGTTAAAAGTTTTGAAACCACAGGGATCATCTGTGAGGTTTTTTGAACTTAGGGACTAAACTTGATATTTTCGAAAACCACAGGGACCGTTTTTGAAGTTTTGTCAAAAATCAAATTAGTTAACAAATTTATATTTTTACGATTTTTTTTTTTTTTGGGTAAAATCTGACGCATTTTTGGACTTTGTGGATGTTTGAGTTTTTATTTAATTGTAAACGATTTATTTTACTGTTGTTTTACTCAATAAGATTTGTTCAATAAGTTAGGGTTCATAGTTACATTTAATTTGTATGTATATTTATATTCGTTTTTTTTTTTTTTTTTTTTTTTTTGTTAGTGTTACCCTTTTTGGCTTCGTTTTGTTTTTTGATTTTTTTAGTTTGTCCTTACTGAGATCATATGTTTTTTTGATTAGGCTGGGCCAAGGATATGCCTAGGGAAAGAATTTGCTTACAGACAAATGAAGATTCTTGCTGCTTTTCTTGTTTACTTCTTCAAGTTTAAACTAGTTGATGAGAGTAAAGAAGCTACTTATCAGACCATGTTCACCCTGCATATGGATAAAGGACTCCATTTGTATGCTTTTCCTCGTTTGTAACAATATAATGCATGTTTTCACCAACAAATTCTAGTGTTATGTGTGAATTTTTTTGCACCTTACATGAATCTATTGATTCCATGTTATTGTTTGATGAGATTAAAGAAGTTTGTTCCATTTTCTACTTGGGATGTGACCTCTATGAAAAGTGACATATCATCAACCTAATCTCCCGAGGTTCCTACCAAGTACTGTTTCAAGTTTTGAAGCGACCAAATCCAGATGATGAGAAAGATAGATCTAAGGCCCCTTGGTCCTTTAGAACCATAAGGATTAGCCACATGCATGGGTTATAGACCTTGGAAAGGTCTTAATGGG